GACTAGTACGTAGGTAGTAGTGGTGTGTGTGTGTGTGTGTGTGTGTGTGTGTGTGTGTGTGTGTGTGTGTGTGTGTGTGTGTGTTGCGTTAGAAACCCAGGCCCATGTGTCATAATGCAACCAAAGAGAATAAACTATTGAAAATTTTTCACATCCGTATCTCATATAGTAAATGAATCGATTAATGGGTGTATGTGGGGAGATTAACGTTTTATTTGTAATCTAAATGCCACAAGGATTGACAATTTTTAGGAAAAAAGGGCCTGATTGTAAGGTGCATTTTGCATACTTAGTTATAGATGAAGTCAATGGAATCTTGTATAGGCAGAAGATGTCTCTAATGGTTTATTATTACAGGTTTTTATAAGGAACCCATCATTGTGATAGCTGTGCAGATAATCTGGTCTTAATAATAATAAATAAATAAATAAAAAGGGTGGGGGAGATGAGGTGTTTAGCTCTTCCATTTTTACAGATTACGTAGTTTCATTCTGTTCAACCAAATAGACCACCATTCTGACTTGAGGCAGATGACCATTTTGAGAACTTGTTCACAGTTTACGAAGCAATACTGGGAAAAATACTCCTGGGCTGTGTAATAATCTTTGTGAAAGATACTAGGTGCTGGAATGTGTTCCAGTTTACATTGTGTGCACCAATACAAATAAAGATACATTTACTTCTACTTTTTCGTACTTGGATTCTTTGCACTTGCCTGATCCAATAGCTACTGAAGTCTATGAGAGCCTTTGCGTGGATTTCAGTAGGCTTTGGACCTGGCCCTTCATATTTTGTAGTGGTGCCCTCTATACAAGTATGTAAGATAGTTGGTAGCAGTATTACAGCTGCTTTATGGTGCTTCAATTAATTAATTTTATACTCAAGTTTACTCTGACTTACGGTTACCAGATAGCAACTGTGAAAAAACAGAACGGGGATGGGGGGATAATAGGCGCCTATATAAGAAAAAGTCCCAAAAACGAGGACTGTCCCTTTGAAAACGGGACATCTGGTCACCCTACTCTGACCTGTGACCTCCATCCTAGTCAGGTTTGCTTGAAGCCCATAGCAGTACTGTAATTACTGGAAGTCAAAACTGATAATTGTATCCGCCACATATTGCACTGGACAATAACAAATTGAGTGTTGGGTATGCCTGGAATTGTAGTTAAACAGTAAGATCTGCAAACAGACATACTCTGTAGCATATACTATACTAGAAAAGCTCCTCTGTTTATGTAAATGAATGGTCTTTAGCTGAAAATGATTGTAAGAGTCATAACTGCAGTAGAAATGCTAAAATAGATGTGTGTTAGAGTTACAGTATAAAGTTTGTTACTGTGATTCTAAAATGATAATTATCTATAAAATTGTAAACATGACAAGCCTATGAAAAGCTGAGAGTGAAGTTCATTTTCCTACGGGATGCTGTACTAGTCTTTAACTACTAAGGTAAGTTCAGTGGAATAAACAGAACACTATTTCAGACTCTTTTGGAACCTTTAATAAATGAGATTTATAATGCAATTGAACCTCAGACTTTTCCTAATGGCTAGTAATTTGCTAAATGAAAGAGGAGAAGACCAAAGCCATAAATAACCATGCAACACTGAGATTCCTCACAACCAGCCATTAACAAAGAAAATGTAATAGAGAACCTGGCAGTGAGGCAGAACAGGTTCTGGAAAATTTCCTGTAACTCACTAGTCCTGCTGCTGTTGCCAGCCAAGGTACTCTGCCACCTTGGAAGGCCTGTAAGCTCCTATTGCTACTGATTTTCCCATAAGACCCTTCAGAGTCATAGATTGATGTTAGGAGCCAGTGTACAGGGACAAGGTGAAAAGCAGTGTCAGAATGCACAAGGTACTTCCTCTGTGAAAGAGATGTTGCCAAATCCATTTTAGGATTATAGTGACTGTTTTATTAAAAGGTGCTGATGAAAGTTGGACAACTTTTGCCAGTTGTGAGAATGAACTGTGTTTCCATTGATTTGCTTGTCTTCCAGTTCCTAAATGTAATTTCTTTAGTGGGTGATTCAGGCTCATTTGCCTGAATGGTTCCACTGAACTTCTGACCTCCCTGTATAGTGTAAACTGTTCTTTTAAATACATTACTAACTCGTATATATATGAGGCCTTAAGCCTCTGGTTACTTTTTTAACCTCAACAAAACAGGTTAACTTTATTAATAGGCCAATATACATATACCCATTTCCTTTTAAGATAAGGGCAATTGCGCTGGGGAGAGGGATTGAATACTGAGATTAAGACAAGGCAATACTCTGATGGGTTTTCTCTGTAATAGTAATGCTTTTCTTAAATGTAAGGAGTTAATTTTGGACATGGAGACTTACATCATTGCTGTGTTTCTTAAAGAAATGAGGAAACGCAGGTGAACCACAGAATGGAGAGAAGGTTGCAGTGATACTCATTCAAAAGGGCTTGTATTTCAATCTAGAAAATCCTAAAACCTGGAACCAGTTTAGAAAAGTCCCTTTCAGAGGTGAAAGGCAACTGTAAAAAAAACTATTCTGAAGAAGACTTGAGTGATGTTGCAGATATTCTGTGGAAGCAGATGTGTTTTTTTGAACAGAAACAGAGGCCTTCTGAAGCAGAGATGATATAATGGAAACCATGAGAGAGCTATTTGTTAGATGCCTGAGACAATAATGGGAAGAAAGAAAGGTCTACCATGCTAAGAGAAGAAGGAGATGGACTGGGAAGACCTACATTGCCACATCCTATGGCAGCAGCTGCTTTACATACTTACGGGGCTTAATGAAGTTCCAGCTTGCATTAGGGATGCCTCTGAAGGGCACATAAAAACCTCACTGAATTTAAATTTTATTTCTTTTACTCATTCTTGTCAGAGAATTTGTGATCCAGAGACTAATTGGAAAGTCTACTCCTAGAGTTTATTCTGACACGGTGAGGGTGGGAAAAGAGAAAATACACTTTTGCTACAGTATAGTATTACAAATACCTATAATTTAAATAAGTATTTGAATAGTACTTTTTAGCCATGGATTAAAAAAACAACACTACTTTTATAACTTGTCTGGGTGAATTTTTAATTTTTTTTTTAAAACAGAAAAAGGGAGTTAATTTCAATCCGGCTGCAGATTTTTGATTTAAAAAGGCTCGTAGAAAAGTACTAGTTTTGTGTGAGAAATTAAAAAAAAAAATATTCCCCAAATTTCCCATGAAAATGTCTCTTTTATGACACACTGAAAAACAAAATTTTTCACTGAAATCATAACTTATTTTTGGTTTCAAGGTTTTCATGGGAAACAAAATAGAAAATTTCAACAATAATGAACATTTTCAGCAAAATCATCTTTTTGGTTGAAAAAATGTTTTGATAAAAATATTTCAACTAGGTCCAAGGATTATTCACTCAGAAGATAATTCTCACATGAACTTAAGGGGCAGAATAAATGTAAAGTTGTCCAAGGAGCCTAAAATCTGAATTTTTCTAGTTAGTTAATAGATTTGCAGGAATATTATGCCTTCACTTGGATGTTATCTTCCTTATTTCCTGCTTTGCTCTTGGTTCGCCTTAGGGATTTATTTTGTAGCCCGGAATAGTGGGAACAGCAAAAGAGGCACAAGTTGGTGTAGAATTTACCACAGAGTCGATGCATTTGTCTGTGTGAGATTTCCTGCTCTAACAAAAGGGTAATGGAGAGACTGATAAAAGGAGTAAGATAGCAAGTGATTGTTTTTGTTCTTTGCTCCTTTTTTTAATTATGCTTCATTATGGGAAGCAAACGTGGCTATGGGCCTATTTTTTTTTTTAAAGTCTGACCCCTGCTTGAAAGTCAATGAGGAGTTTGGCTTCATAAATGATGACAGGATATATTGTTCATTTTGTGTCTGTCTGTCTCCTGAGAAAGGTCCAGGGATGCAATTAGATTTAATTGAATTTTTTAAAAAAGATTTAAAATTGCACAATTCCAATATTTGAGCTTGCACTTTCTCTCTAGTGACAAATGGATTTTTTTTATTAGGATTTAATTTTTCAGGGAACAAGCAGTGCTGACTTGGATCCATTATGATATTGAATCTTAAACCTTAATTTCTTTTGACTGCTTTGATGAATCAATATAAATCTTATAGTTCACAGTGGTTTAATAGTCTTCCCCCTTGTGACTTGAAATTTCTCAACATAGAGCTGGATCAGTACACCTAAAACAGTAGTGTCCTCTACTAACCTGGGAAGCATGTAAAACAGCCTTGAAAAAACCATTTCACAGAGGGGAAAGGTGTACTTGTAGTGCATCAATACTGAATATTGTTCCTTACTGACCTTTGTGGTTACTGTGAATTCCCAAAATCACTTTCTAATATGAATATTTTTCTTTGATGACTGTCAGGTTGCAGGAAGTGTCTTGAGGCATAGAATAGGAATATGCATCATAAAATATTTTAATTGGAAAGGTGACCTCAAATGCATTAAATTAGTGGAAGTACTGAATTTTGAGCCAAAGTTATATTTGGAAGATTATGTAAGGGCTTGTCTATATCATGTATTAGTCCATGCCAGAGAGAGTCTAGTGTGAAATAGGACTATATCCGTGTGCACTAAAGAACTTTTAATGTGTGCCAGCAGGGTCTACATGGGCCAATTAGTGTCATGCTAGTGCACACTAGAATTTACACCCCTCCAGTGCAGATTAATGCACTGTGTAGACAAGCCCTCAGTAATACCTTCGTTTGCAAGTCTCTGCAGTAGAATTGCATCAGATTCATTAAAGGGATAAGTTTATTTGTTTTCCATTTTTCCAATTTTAATGAATAATTAGTGCTTTGTCCT